GAAGTACAAATAAAATGAACCTCCAAATAACGTGTAACAATTCCACCGGTATGAAAAAGTTGAAATATAAACTTGGCGTTAACAAATATAACATGGTCAATTGTTGCTCCCGCAGCCTAAAAAGGCAGACCGTAATATGGTTATTACTTAGTACTGAGCAGCATATGAGCGAAATGAGTTCCTTCCCAGTTCAGTATAAGCCTCGTTTTATTTTTGTGGTTAGACAAAGTTGATAAAATTATGCGCTCAAATGTTTTGATCACCCTATGAAAATTCGTCGATAATTAAATACGTAACCTCCATGTTTTTTTTTTCTCATCAAGCGGCCGGCTTCCATGACGAAACGAGGTCTATGCCTCTAAGACTAACGGGCAAACACGTTACCTATTAAGCTATCACGAAAATCTCTATTACTCCATCTGAATTGATTTTGAGTTCGTTTTTGCTAAAAGAAGCAAATATACGTGCCGACCAGCTATCGCAGATCGATTGAGTACTTAGCCCGCGTTTATGAGAATACAAGCGGCGAGATATTATAAAATTTTTAAAATACTGATTATGAAAGGAACAGTACGTAAAATACGGAAATATGCGAGAGTATTTACTTCACTAAACATTTCGTTTTTTACAAGGTAACATTCATCGTGTTGCCTCTCACATACCATTGTACGCACGTGTGGACATATAAATGATATTAGTTACGTGTACTGATACCTGGTCCGTTCGTTTGTCCTTGATTACGGCCACCTGCCCTTCCATCAAACTGAACCAAAGGTAGCGCCAAAAACGCAGAGCGACTCGAAGATAGGCTGAAATTGGATAATCCAATAGAAGTTGTTCCATCAATGATAGGCCGACGAGTGTGCCCCCAAGAGGGATTACAAACGAAGAAAAAATGACTAGATGTAAATGTTTATTATCTTGTCGCTGGAATTTTAGCAGCAGCGATGCTGGTGATACGCCATGGCGGTAACAGTGAAAAAGGTCACTTGAACGAGTCGACTTTATTACTCAGGCCCAGTCAAAAGCTGGTAATTACCAGAGATTTAGAGATTGGGGAGATGATACACAGACGGTGGAGAGTTACCCGAATATGGCTTCTGCGACGGCCAGCGTTGCTTTCGCGTAAATGTGAGGCCTATTAGAATTAAGGTTCATTTCATCTTTTCAGAGTTAACAAAAGAGGAACTGTTTAGGTAGGCATTGTGTGCTATATGATGATTTATGAACTTGCTAGGAGTACGCGCTGTTACCGGTGTTAGATGTTATGCAAAACATAAGCGTTGCGTTGATATATATATATTCTTACAAAAAGAACTCAAAACTCAAGAGAGATATTCACATACGTACCAATTCTTAACTTCTAACTAGAATTGAGGTTTAATATTTCAACAGCAAATGCCCCAAGAGAACTTTTTAAAGGTAAACATTTAAGAAGAAACAGCTACTCTCCAAATAGGAACTTCTTGAGGAACCTTGAGGCGACATCATTTCTCTGAGTTCGTCTATCTGTTTGTCCGCGGAACGCCACGAAGTTACCTACGTGCCACAATACCAATTGATAGGAATGGCTGTTCTCCGATTGTGAGCGTCTCTGGCCAAACAGAGAAAAAGTATATTCGAGTGGAAAGTTTTCTCCAAAAGCGTCTATATAAAAGAGTTTACATCGTGTTACTCCGTGCCAAACCGAGATATGCAGCTTTGACATCGATAAAATCAGGGGCTGTTAATGTCAGTGAATCACTACAAAATAACATTAACATGTTGAGTCTAAGTTCACCGCGATATGTTTACTACCAGGAGAAACTGCTGCGGATTTTCGTTAGCTCAATGGTTGTTGTACAGATCAAACAGTGGGTAGAAAAGCGGAACAGTCGAGAGAGCTATAGCGCCGATTTTTTCGTTGCCTACTCCCGGTCGAACTAGCAATCTACGGAACCCTGATTGAATTTGGGGCTACCAAAAGTAACTCGAGGGAGCGAGGGTGTTTACAAACTTTTCATGTACACAATTATATGTGTGCAGGCCTAAATCTATTAAAGATGCATAATAACATATAACTAATGATAACAGCGAATTTAGAAGGGTTGTTAAATTATATTGGAGAAAGTTCTTCTTAGGTGTTTTTATATTTGGTAAGATTACATTAGTTAACTAGGCCGTGAAGAAACATTCTAGATGGATAGAACATGCAGTAATATTAGTAGCTGGATAACACTATTAGTTATTGGTTATGGTCCTTAACGCCTTGGTATATATAATGAATCTATAATGAATTAGCTGTGTGCCGTTTTTGTCACTGTATTTGTATTTAATTGAAACTAGTAGGATTTAGTTAATTAACGTCTCTTCGTCCACTGTGAGGCAAAGCAATTTATTAATTTGAAAAGATGCCTCCTGACCCCATACTTTACTTTTTACTGCATTAACTTCTTTGCTTCTAGAACAGATTCATAAGCATAACATTTTTGTCTCACCCTATATATATATATATATATATATATATATATATATATATATATATATATAGGGTGGGGCAAAAATTAAGGACCATTATATATATATACATATATTTATAATGGTCAATACTGATGGATGTCTTTTTTTCTTTACTATGTAAAAGTGACGTGTTGCCGGTTGGTCTCCGTCACCACAGTGGCTGCTCAAATACGGGCTGTTTAGACTTGGTATAAACCTGCAGTCAAAAGTTATTCTATCCACGCAAAGTCAGTAGTTGCTCTTTAGTCAATGGCGCACCAAAGAGGGCGGCAATAGAAAAATAAGGAAGCTCGGTAAAAACACATCAATAAAACGATTCGGTAGTTCTTTTTCTATCGTGTTTCTCTTTATAGCAGTCTAGCAAAGCCACACAAGCTTGCAATACCACTAAAAGCGCTTTTTTCTCTCAATCGTCGTTTCTTCTAAAAGTCCAACGAGAAACGGCCACGCAAGGCGGACGGGAACCAATTCAATCGACACGACGACCTGTCGTTTGTCCTTTCTGCCCCCTAACCTAAATGCCCAAAACCGCCACTCCTATTAGTAAAGAAGCAAAAAAGTCAGCTTTATAGGTTATGTAGAGCACTAATAAAGTCGGTTCGATTCCGGGTATCGAAAGAGTTTTCGCAGAAAGTTCAGCTACGAGCTGGGGTTAATTCTATTTCTACTTACGCTTACGTACTACCTAGGTAGAGTTGAAAGGTTAGCAGATAAGCCTTGTTGTAGAATATACTCGCTATAGCTGAGGGTGGTGCCTTTATTCTTAAGAAAAGTGATAGCAAAAGAACATAGGTTTTGTGATGTCTACGATTTGGTAGAGCTAGATTTACTGGATAGATTCATATTGCCCTGTTCCTTCCGTACCGGAACACTGGTTGAAGGCAGAAAGTCGTTGTTTTCCGACCTATACTCTTGCACAACCGTTACCCTTAGTTCAATACAAAATCAAATCGCGCTATTGGCTCTAATTAACATAGAAGCTATAGATGTTTGTTGTGAACAATGGTATCAACTTGTATATCTTGCATTTGTAGCTTAACTTAGCTCTAGTCGCTTGTCTCACTATCATTCTATAAATGTGGTTGAACTTAATCACTTACCAGATGCGCCAATACCTTGTAACTTGTTTTTCTTTCCCTTTCAACAACAGAGTTTCGTACGTTGGTCCCATAATGAAATTACATTGTACAAGCAACGCACATATATATATATATACATATATATGCGTATCCGGTGGCAAGCGCCAGGCAACATGGCTTTTGGCCTCAACGCAATCATCGAATAAAAGGGTCCTAGCGGCTTGTCTATCTAACTGCTAAACGCGGCATGTGCAAAAGGCTGGACGGTGCGAACTAAGTCCTTCCGGGTTACAGGCTTATTATAACATATGGCTACGGTCGGCACCGAGGCGAATACGATATTGGGCTTCACTAGCAGAAAAGAACGTGTAGATTCTTTCTTGCTTTTTCTTTTCCAAAGCTACCTAATAAGCAGCTTTGCGAGCGCGAAAAACAGGTGGTGTTATTTTGGCTTCTTAGTATCCCGTATTCTTTAGCAGATAAGACCCTACATCTGTGCCCCCTGTGTGTGGTTCGCGCGCGGACCATAGTCTCCTTCGATACTTTTACGACCCTATAATAAATAAGAAAACACTCTCAAAATTTACTTAACTTCTGACGCAGGGCTGTGGAGAACGAATCGCCTTAGGCGGGTTTACACTGCGTTCATCTCGGCCTAATTTCATGGAAATTATACGAATCAACTGGTCAACTGAAAAAATTACCTGAGACTCCTTTAGGATGCACAGTTAATACTTGTTATAGAAATTAAGCGTAACGTCGACGTTCATTTTTGCCGAGTGACTGACTTTTTGTCAGTAAGGTTGTGAGGCTTCCGTTATACATAAAGAGCCTTAATATCGCTTATTTACTACAGAGCAAAACTGTAGTTAACGTTCAATACCAATTGGTGCTTTACGGGCATCACTGGCGCGTTTCCATTGTATTAAGGGTTATTGTAGCAAAGCACAAGAACGGCCATATTCTGCCCATAGCACGTAATATTATTTTATAGTAGATTGGGTCAGGATTAGGTGGAGGGTTAGATCAGACGGCTAAACGTAGTTATATATGAAACGAAATCAAAAGGACTTCCACCATGACTATAAACATAAAACATAGGCCACTTCAACTCAACACAGTAACGCCACATAATCTTAATTTAAGCAACCTTAATTCATCTTTGTGTTCCATCTGCATATCAGGGGTTGTATTGTACATATCATCTTTTGCTTTTAAGCGTTTCCACAAAAGCTGTCCAGACGTACCAGTAAAATACGGACTGGTAGCCCCTTCACGCCAGACTAGCTAGTTAACCTTTTGATTTTTCAGAAAGATAGAAAAGTAAAAAAAAATTTAAAAAAAAAGCATACGTACTTCGTCGGCGCCCTTCGTCTGCATATGCATAACGTAGGATCTAAATGGGATGATTTACTTTCCTAGGCTATCAACATCGACAGCGTGGAGGCGGAATCCATCACCGGGGGCGCGGCAATAAGGTTGGCGGAGGTTTTATGAAAGAGTCGCCGGCAAACAGTCCAAAAATGAACACCGTACCTCTTGCTAATCCGCCACCGCCCCTGGTCTCTAAAATATCCCCACACTTCGACAATACCACACCGCCACAGGTTCGTAATCTGTTTATATCGAGGTAAATATGTATTGGGTATTGCAGTTGCACTTTGAAGAAGAATATCAAATCAAGCATTATTACTACAATTTCCCTTGAATACATCTAACTTCACTAATAAAAGCTCTTTCCTTCGGCGTAATACTGTCTGTTACATTTGCGGTCGGCCCAAGTTCATCCAATCTAAAATAAAAGTCATGCCAAAAGAACGTGTCGCAATCCTTATGGTGTCACATCGGGTACCAGACGATTGTTTATCGTGAGTCTAGGATCATCCGAACCCTGTTTTGTCGATCCGCGACATAAGCGTCATCTAAGAGATTATTCAAAGGAAATTTCCTGTCGTCATATTTCTAACCCTTGAAACTGTCTACGTAACAGTAAAAACAAAGCCAGTTGTCCTTATGGTGTTTCTATAATCCAATTCAAGCAATCAAATTAGAAAATTGTTAACACATCCAGGTAACCGCTGCTCAAGGAAAGGCTGTCTTCTTACCTTGCAACGTCAGACATCTAGGAGATCGGACCGTAAGTTCTATCTGCAAGTTAACAGCAGTTACGTTCACTCCGATATTTACCTTGATTAGACGTAACACGTTCTTTTATATATGTGCCCTGTGGCGATATGCTGCGAGCTCAAAACTCTGGCGTCTACTCAGTCGATAATGAATTCGAGGTAATAGAAATGTTTAACGGTTCGATAGTGCGTGAAATCAATTAATATTATAATGTTTATAGAGGATATTTTTTTTTAGCGAAAGCTCGACGATAAGTGACCAAAACTTATCCTTAATTAAGGCAAGCGTACTCAGAAGCTCTTGTTCTTTTGCTAATAATCCCAGTCAAGCGACAATGTACTCCCCTACGGCTACCCTGCACTTCTTGAGTTCGATCCAGATAGATTAAGGCTTTTTAAAATGGTGAATCAGAGCCTTTTCTTTCGAATTTCAGTTCTGTGAATAGAGAGCCGGAGTAAAAAAAACTCTGTCATACTAAGAGTGCTTTAATATTTCTATCAGGTTTTATGGGTTGCTGTTGATTGAATCTCTTAGAGACCTTTTTGAACATCTTTGTACTGTTTTTTCATTTTCTTGATACTAGATCTTCCTATAATCTGTTTTTATATAAAAATTGCAAGACTTTAGTTGTCCAATTTTAGCCGCTATGGTGACAGTCCTCCGCAAAAGAAATCTCAAGATATTTTTAAAATATATAATATATTTTACTTAGTGATCATAATAACGATGATATTTTTTTGTTGTTTTTCGTCGAAACAACTTGATTTCCAGTAAATAAATCTGTATATAACTAGATTTTCGAATTTTAATATGGCCCTCAGGTCTCTTGGATCCGCCGTACAGTCGAAGGTGGCTTGAACGTGCTGACGGTTGGCCGCTTTGCATACACAATGGATCAACGTTTTCAGGTGATACACTTCGACAATTCGGAATCATGGGCGCTACACATCAAGTACGCATCCCTTGACGACAGCGGCGTCTACGAATGCCAAGTCAGCACCACGCCCAAAATAAGCCGCTTTGTTCGGTTGGATGTAGTCGGTACGTGTCGATATGCAGGAGGGTACACAAATGCACGTACATACAAAAAATATATCACATGATTTCTGCTTGGTCTAACAATTGCGACTATTTTCTCCTACGACCTCTATCTTTGGGCGGACACAGCATGTCCTAGGATGTCACCAGGTCAGAGTGAATCTTACTCACCAATGTGACTGTCGGCGATTTGGACAAAAAGACACCACTCGCTTGTCTAACGCTTGTCGTACGAATGAGATGAATTAGTTTCTGCTTTCCTATTTGTTCTTGTTTTCGTTTACAATTTCTATACGTTAAAAGCTAGCTGTCAGGACGTTTTCTTTCAGTTGCACTTTGCCAATCCCACCCTCTTGGTCGCCTTGGTTCTGGTCGATTAAACAGAACGACTGATAATGACACTTAACCAGCATTATCTACCAATTTTGTCTACGAGCTATTTGTCCTATCTATTGACACCTTAAGCTTAACCTTAAGCTGTAAGTTAACCTTCTGCTGCTTTCGGGCTTTGCACAGATTCATATTTAGATAATCGTTTAAGAGTACGCAACCCCACAACCAACCGTTGCTGTTTCTACACCATATTGTTGCAGAGAGTCGTGCGTCGATTATAGGAGGGCCCTCGTTATACGTGAACGGCGGTTCAGTTTTAAGGCTTGTGTGCTTCGTTGATGGAATTGCTGCAGCCCCCACGTCAACTTCAACCTCGTCATCTTCGTCGCCATCAACTTCATCGCCGACGAGCTCACCGACTTCGGGAAACACTGAGTTCGTGTTCTGGTTCCGCAACGGCAAGCTGTTGAACTACGATCAGGACCTAAGGCATCGAGTAAGCCTTTCAATTCCGCCGCCAAACACAGGCCTAGCAGAATCTCTTAGACCGGCATCACCGATCAGACATGCCTACGAGCGGATCCTTGCAAATGGTCAAAACTATAACAGCAAAAAGAACCACCTCAACAATAACAGTAACGAAAATAACGCTGGCAATAGACCGGTCGAAAAGGAACAGCCGCAACGGCGCCTGGAGAGTCGCCTGGAGATTTCGTCAGTGAGAGTTGCTGACTCGGGTAATTATTCTTGTCAGCCATCGAATTCGGCGCCAGATGTCATACAAGTTTTCGTCATTGCAAGTGAGTAGCCAGTGGTACAAATTAAAACAACCATTGCTTCCGCTATTCTATCTCGTAGTCCTGTCACCTATACTCTCGCTATCCTATGCCCTTAAATCTATTTACACATGTCTATCTATAAGCCCGTCCTTTGATTTCACAGAGCGAAGCAGTTGGTCCTCTTAGCCGTAGCGTAGCTCATGTGTAGACTAACTTTTGCAAACTATTATTTTGTATCTCAAATGCTAGCTTAGGCTGACGCACAGTTCGATATAGTACAATAAAAACTATATGCAATCCAATGTAGTGGCCTGTGCCCCTAAAGGCGACACTTTAATTATTCAGCCATTCGGTATGCGGACCAATTCGAACAGCAGTCGAAGAAATTCTTTACCTTCGTGTCGCTACCGCTAATGGCCTGGGCAGAGCAGTTATAGTATTTATATCTATATATTAACAAGGCAGTACTATGTTCGACGTTCGCCCGGCCTCTCGGCCGACTCTTGCTCATAGACGTCTTATAAGACGTTAGGGTTGCTTCGTTAGCAAACAGCAAGCGAACAGATAACGGGGAAGTTGATCTTTCTCAAACAACTGCTGAGAGATACGTAGGTAATTTTCATAACCTCGGGCACGATCCTAATGAACAGGAGAAGGAATTGGATAGGACCAAAGTTTTCGATAGCAGCTAGAACGTAACGACTGTCAGGGACAATGTATTAACGATACGATTTTCTTCTACGTAGCCGTTGCCCCCATCCGATGTTGCTCTGTCTCGATGAGGAGGTGACTAGGTATGATAGCGATGAATAGATAAAAAATAGATAAAATGAGCATGCTGTTGTCAGCATTCACCGAATCAGTGAAGAAGAGGCCATGCTGGTTACGAAGGACATGTGAGGTAGTTACAATCTGAGACCAAACGCAGAAATGTTAATGAAATTCATGTTTATAGTAAACTAATACAATAGTTGTGGTCGTTGCTACTAGAGACCCCTGCGGCTTAAAAATTTATCGTGTTCCTTAAGATATACTTAATATTTAGTAACGAAACAGTTTGCGGGCTAACTTTGCCGCTGTTAGTGAATTGTTTTCACCTAAAAAATCAAATAATTTTTTGTCTATATGAAGTTTTACTGTTTGGGAAGTATCTTTAAGTTCTCTCTGTGTTCTTGTTAAACTATTCTGATAGGGTGTTTTTACGGATTTGAAGTTGCTGTATTCAATATTCGCCATGTTGGCTATGGTGTGGTACTTATTTTCGACCGATTGATAAGAAGGTTGATTTTTCTGTTCTACAGCTGGCGTCTGAATTACAGAGCAGTTACTCAGCTTAGATAAGCAGATTAAAATCAGCATAAGTCTCCCTTATTCAATACAGTGAACGTAAGCGATTATCTTGCAACTGTCGTCACAAATACATTCATCCTAGTGGATCACAGACGGGTGCTTAGCCAACTACGGATATAATATTCGGAGCCCCATCGTTTAAACTAAGCACGCGCTTTCCATTGATGTTGTTGTTGATTTCGTTTTAATTCGTCAAATGTACGTTCAATAAAGATGAACCGCCAGCGGCGATGCAGGACAGTGTTGTCGCAGGAACATTGGGCGTGAGGTCACCTGCAGCCGTCGTGCGCTCGCGAGAACTTCTGTTGTCGATGCTTCTTTTACCCCTTTACCTTTTGCGGTGACTTAGAGATGCCCGCCTGCACTGCCTCAATTTAAGCAGTTCTCGCAAACGACAAGGGATCACAAATGCCGGTGAAGCGACAACAATACTGACAACGAGAAGGGTCCAAGCGAATCCACAACAAGCACAAGGTCGACTTGCAGAGTTGGCCACAGCTGCAGCGACTGTCGTTCAACAGGAACAGGTTAACATTTGTGGAAGCAAAGCATCGGAAAGGACAGAGTTGTGACGCAAAACGTCATGTGCGCCGTCGTCGTGCTAAAGCTGCCATCTTCAACTTCGGTTGCGTGCAGTGACACGGATTATAAGGATGGAGGTAAGAGAAACCTTCCCTCTTTTAAAGTATATGTTTCTGGTTTGTGAAAGGAACAAGTAAACAGCATAGCCATGTTTCTCCTCAAACAGCGTGTGATTATTTAAAGAAGAAGCGGATAACGGCACCTAATTACTATCTCGAGAAAGTAATGGTTGGCGAGTTTCATCGAAGCAGATTCTCAGAAGTACTTACTTACTTTCAGTGAAATCGTAGTATTAAATAAGTATGCCATCAATCTGATCAGGCCATTCATAGGTCCCGCACAAATTTTTCTCTTGTTTTGTTGTTTGACGGAAACGGCAACCTCTTATCAACAGTTTATCTGTTCTCCCGTACCGTCATGGTGCTTGGTGCCGTCATCTCACTGCCAATGTTCTTACCTTTAGCGATTTACACCATTGTAGTCTTCTAGGGACTAGCCAACCTTGTTCGCGAACGAGAAACTTCAAAGCGAGCGAAAAAAGCCATACATCTAAAAGAGCATTTATGTAAGTGCAAAATAATGTCATGTTATTATATCATGAAAATAACGGTTTACTCAAAATGCTGAAATCTAACGAAGAGTCGCGGAAAGCCAAGCTAATATGTGTAATGATAGGGATCGCTAGCACCCCGAATCTAGAAACCCAGAATAGGCGTGAAACTTTCACCACCTGGGGGCGCTGTTTAGCTTCGCAATTCGATACCTATTGCTTTCCATTTTCCCCGTTCGTCATAGGATATAGTGAATACTGATCAGCTCGACCCGGACATGCCTGATCGAATGCGACCGGTGACATTAGGGGACTGTGGGCAAGAAAACACCGATGAGGTGTTTTCTTCATTCTATCCTGCTTCTCTGCCTGAACATACCGTGAGCTGGCCGAACAGCTTATTTACCCGAGAAGCATTTACAGATTGGGCTCGGTCACTTGTCGACTTCGGATCCAACCCAAATGTTTTGGGCGGGACACCGATGCTGTTTGCGAAAGTGATATGACATCAGGCTGTGGTACAACCTTAGAGGGCTAAAGTTAGCAAGGGTTTCGAGTAATCAGAGTTATTGACAACCGGCCTTGAATACAAACCAGTAAGGGGTAGCATCGGGCTGATGCGTAGTAGCAGAGCTAAATATAAAGCATAATAGATTATACAATATGTACAGGTAGGTAAATTCTATTGATAACTTATGAATTGCCGGGTGTTAGAGATGTGGTGGTCGGTGATCATCTGGGCGATGGTCAGCGCGTATGTAAGTTGCCATCAATACATGCTATACGGTAAATTGGCATGACACAGAATCATTCAAGCTAGCACCGAAGTTTTTCATATTAGACTCAAAACAACATGTATCCGTTTAAATAAAGCACAGGATCTATAATCTATATCAGCTCTTGTTGAGTGCAAGTAGTTATGAAATTGAAAAGTGTGATAAAAGACCAGTGTTGCCTGACAATATCTGTTATCTCATTTAGGCGGAATCATCGATACCTCCAAGCCTAAACTTATCGCCAGTTACGTGCCAAGCAGTGAAAAGCACAAAAACGTCGTGAGTGGCTCTCAAACACTCTCCTGGAAGTTGGAAGGTTCCAATGCTATGCATTACCGGTCGCATTGTGAAGTCTCTTCGGTTATTAAGTGGACACCATACGGCGGTCATATTTGCTGTTTAAAATCAAGCGGCGATGTTTTTCAACCTGTAGCTCTTATAGGTTACATCCTGATGATGAGTGTACTGGCAAGAATATGAAAAAAAAAAAAAAAAAATAGCTAAAGGAGCCTCGTTCAGCCTGAAAATTTTTTGCGTCAAATTCGAGGTATTTCGATTTCCTTCAGGCATTTAAAAAAAAATCAAGAGTCACAATTACTTGTTACTGTTTGGTCAAGTAAAATTAATTTTAACACTGTCTTTTTTTTTAACCAAGCACTCGAATCTAAGCCTTGCGATCTATCTACGTACTATTATTGAGTTACATCGTTTGCATTATATATATGTACATACATCTATATACATATATATATATATTTTTTTTTTGTTGAAATGTTTGCCTCGTCATAGTTAGAAATGGTGTACTATCAACTACCAAGAGCATTAAACGCGTTTCACATAGAGAGGCTTGAGTAGAATGAAATATTGTGGACTAACTACTATTACGGTAGTAAAATCACTGTCTTTGCCTGTATATATACTTGACCTCGAAGACGCAAGTTATTTTTCCACTATAGAGAGAATGTGATCGAATGGATTACAACAAGGCCAGCTCATGCTGAAGAACTGGGCGTGAAGAGTACCTAGAAGCTACTGAAGAGCGGACGGCGTCCTAGTGTGTTATTTGTTTGATGAACTAAATGCTCAGAGATAGCACAAAGGCTAAACTATTAGAAGCTCGGATATAGACTTTAATCCAAATCGAAGTCATCTCAACACAACGAACCAATTAAGAGTAATGCATTGCCAATGGTCTCTGACTTCATATCAGCAAAATTCTCTATCAAAATCGCCTAAGCAATCATTTGAGGGCTTCATCACGAGGATGCTGTTCCATGGCAAATGCCACTGCAAAACAAGTGTCTGTAGCTTGTACTCCGTATCTGGCTTTTGTGTTGGCATTGCTTCTGCCCTAGGGCATGGACGAGTCACCGGAGTGGTAGCAGCAGCAACAGCTCAGACGTTGAAGTATAACCGATATCTTCCAAGCTCATATACGTCTGATCAATCCAGGATCTCTAGCATTGTTGTGTATAGCGAAGACAAGGTTACTTCCACAGCAAGATAATTCTATAGATGTGGAGGATCTAATAGGATTTTTCCAGTACTATGTACGTTACTTGCCATAATGTTAAATAGGTTTGTACAATTGTAGGTAGAGTTTTGCTTCACTGGATTCACTTTCAAAGCGTTCATGTAATTGTGTTTTCTTTGCTTTTGTTTTTGTTTTCCCGATTTCAGATATTTAGCCCTCGCGTATTCGGCCTTGTTCACGGTCTGCGTTGTTAGCGAAAGCTGTTTCTGAGATCAAACCATGCAAGGCTGTTGCTTTTATAAAGCTGTTGGCAAACAAATGGCTAGCTTCTCTCTGTTTAACTAAGCGATGGAGACGTGTATCGTGCCAATGAGTTACAAGCAAGCGGCGTATTTAGCAGGCGGGCATCTTCTCAAGCACGGTTTTTTACCATTTGTGCACATCTTGTAAATACGGTATAGAATAGAATAGAACGGTGAGATGATGGGCACCAATGCAGGGCCGTTGGGCAACGTGTAATAGTTACAGCCAGAGGAGGACACCAGCTATGGACAAAGAAGAACTAAAGTGCACTTACTTTGTTAAAGGCAAGATGCGATCATTCCGAAGATCTTACTTCGGTTAAGTAACAGGACTACAGTCTAAACGATATACTATTCGGTAATAAAATTACTGCTACCTCATAATCTAGAATATTATTCTAGGTTCTCGACTCAGAGCTCAAAAAAAAACTATCTCCTTATTCCGGCATCACTTCGATGCGCGCTGCCATAATTAGCGTCAATTCACGTTGCAAAGTAGGTCCACTTCCTTATAATACATGCATTGTTACTGTTTGTAGTAATCACAGCGAATTAAGATCTAGAATATCAATTTTTTGTTGGTTTTAATAACTTCTATGGACAGCTAACGTGTAGAAAGAAAGTTGTTCGCAGTACTCAGGCCGCTGCCGGACACACCAGGTAAATTATAACAAAAGGTCCGCTCGGCGATTTGAGCGCTCAGCTTATGCGTTCGGCGGTCACAATGTATCAGACGAGTTATATCAATTACGGAGTCCTTCACCTAGTAAATAATAGATCATGATAGAAAGTAGGACGTCGTTACGCCATAAGGACGTACATGACGCCAAGTCAGGACGAGGCTAGAGATCTCGGAGGCGCATAGTGTGTGCATTGGAACTTGTTCGATTTGAATCGATGTTTCAAGCGCTTGTTTGGAGAATATAGTGATGTTGCTAGAACCTATACGCTAAAACAGATACTCACACTTAAAGGACAAAAAAATAGAACACTTTTCCGGAAGCCAGCATTTTCAACTGACTAAAGCCTCTTAACAAACAAAGGGTGCTTATTTAATTTATTTGACCTTGTACAAGTAAACTAGTAGACCAACCTATGCCCGAATCAAGTTCACTCAAATAAATTCCCACATCAGAATCTATCACCCGCTTCAGGACCGTGTATGTCACAGTAGCAATTTATCTAGAAGGCAAAGCGGTACTAGCCAAAACATTAATAGATATGTCCTATACTGTGCATACGATAGAAAATAATTTACGCAATTACTGTTTCATACCTTCGCAACGAAATTGGCAAATGATATGTTTTTCAAGCCAAAAAGAGATACTTTCATTCTCTCGATGTCGAGCTTACTTTATTTGGCGAGCAAAGCGAGATGTGTCCCTCGTGCGGCAAACTGGCATTTATTTAGATAGACATCTGCTCGAGTTTATCATCTTGGGTAATAGACTACGTTGGTAGTGAACGCTGCGCCGAACGTGGACGTAACGAACCGGCTCGTTCGGGACGCTTGCCGAAGGTCTAGAACAGCGTACCAAGCATCCCCCACGGCTTTGTGCACTAAAGTGGCACATCTAACATGAACTTAATTTTACTTACTTTACCAAAGTATCAGAACTTCAAATGAATTGTTCAATCGTTTGCACTATAGAGTTACGTAATACTAGCTCGAACGGCTGAAGACAGTCCAACTATTAATCGATGGCAGCTGTGATAATTTGGGCATGATTGATTCATGCACGTTTACTGGATTGGGCCCGATAGCTATTAATGTTGACTTGAAATTCGGAGGGGTTTTCGTGTGCTTGAGCGACAACGCTGTGTCGTTCGGCTTCTTGGAGTTGTTTGTAGAGAGGTTCGATAATAATTATCTGCAGACGACGTCCATCGGACCTTGCTATATAATGTCTGCTTTCATATGTACGGGCACGACGCACGTCCGTTGGCCCCATTAGTTTCCTTATATTTCTGTTTTCCGTCAGAAGATATTTGTGATCGTGTACGATTCTATACGAGTAGTCCTAACGAGTAGATTGTTTCATTGAGTTTTCAATTGTCAGCACAATGATTCTATGAAACATTTCTAATTTAGATAATATCAAATTTATTTAATGTTAGCTTTTCGTACTGTCAATGCTAATTAGAGCATTTGGAAATGTTCATCAAATACGAACGGAACATTTGGATAAAGCGGGTCGTTCTTTATTATGTAACACTTCCGCTTATCATAATACATCGAAATTATATGTTTTCCTGCCATCTTAGAATAGGAAAGGCTCTCTCATTCGATTCGACCTTGCTAGTGATATAGGATGAATCACATGTTTCATTTTAGTCACTACGAAATTAACTCTCTATTACTTATGACGGCATAGTGGGGGGCAAATATATAGACTAAGATGCGTGCCTACGGAATCAATTAGGGTTACTACCTTCCGGTCGTTAACTCGCTGTGGCAAATACAACGTTAGCCTTCGTATATAAACGAGAGAGTTGTGCGTGAGTTGGCGGCAGTTGACTGATGGTGAACTTGAAAAAAAAAAGCAGAAAACTTCCAGACGAACTTGTTGTGTGTAAAACAGACGGGCAAAAAAACAGGTCGACGCTGTAGGAGACTCATATTTACCGGAACCGCGTGACTGATGTCAATTAAAAGGGACACCAAAACGAAAGACAAATGCAGAAAATTAGCAAAAATATTAACTAGTATAGTACATTAATCAAATCTTGGCGAGTGCCATAGATTAGCATGGGACGTCGCGCTATGCGTCAAAACAGCAACAGTTTAGGCCCTATGTAGCGGTGACGGCAAGTGCGGACAGACGGGCAGAACACGTTGATCCTAATAAAACTGTGAATCTGTTAATTCCATTCATACATATACACACACACACCCTATTATACATAAGGGTAACGTGAAACGCAAAATAAGTAACGACACAAAGAGCAGCTATGTGCGTTAATGATGATAGAGAAAAATAATAAACATCACCATATAGCCTCATATATATTAGGAGACTAGTTTATTGTCCCTTAGGTGAAATAAGGTTTACGATTCAAAAAACGACCACCTAAATACGAGTCTCTCGGTGTTATCCAACGTTTAAACGGACGCCTTTTCATGCAAAAGAAATTGACTTGACAAGAACAACGAATCAAGAGAGTGCCCAGCACTCATGTATGATAAGTATGTATACATTTTGTAATATTCAATACATCATAGAATAACGCGGCCTATGAAGATAGACATGTTCTCTGAAATTATTGTATCTTCCATAGGATCTCTTAGCAACACTGAGACAAATGCAGCAAGGTGTCGCTCTCATAATGCAAAATAGCTCTCTCATCGATATTGTAACTTTATAAAAAACGAAAAATATTATCCAAAAAAAAAAACATACCGATCTGAATCACTTAGAAGATGGCTGATCATTCACCAACGAATGATAGGAAAAGCTGAAAGGATGATGTATTCTGTGAAATGTACTTGTACCAAGTGCGTCTGGGGGACGGCGACATTTGGCCAATAATACATTTTTTTTTTTTTTTTCCTGAAAAAAAGACACCCACAATGATGGTTCAATAAAGTCGAAGACAGCCGTAAAGTAGACTCGTTTTTCATTAATTTCGCAAAGATTAGTTTGGTCTATAAAAGATATTCAAGTAACTTGCGTATGCATCTAATGTGTCGAGCTATTTAGCGGGTCGAAAGATTTGAACAACTGGAAAACGACGCACCGAGATGTATAATTTTCTATGACTATAAGCTGTGTAAGTGACGTCAGACAATCATCAGTTTAAAGGTCGTAAAAATCAACGCCCATCGATGTGGGCTTAGTTTTTCGGATGTAAAATGCTGATAGAATCCATCGAATTTGCAAAGGCCATAAACGAAAAACCTTTAGTGGAACATTTTTTCTTACCGAATCCAAGGTTCATGTTAATACCACGAGGAAGGCGATTACACCACAACATTTCAAACAACCGTACGAGTTGCCTTTGAGCGAAATAAAGCATAGGCAATGTGCTCCCTGTTTGGGACTTCTTGAAGCGTGCGTTACGATGATAATGTAAAAACAAAAAAAAAATGTAGAAAGATGGCTTCTTTAAAAATTAAGCCCTGTACATATAAAACATATGTGGCAGTTTCTATATAACAACTTTCATGACTCCTATGAAAAAAAGCAAAAAGCCGCCCAAGAGCCGTTTATCGCTATAGATGAAGAGCCTGCATGATCACAGCAAATAGCTCTTTCGTTTGATTTGTGCCAATTTTTTGTGTTCAGCCTTTCAATCTGACTGGATCAAGAACAGACCCTTGTTTTACTGAAGATTTTTTTGTCGATCTTTCACCTACTAACATTGTGAACCGATGTAAATATTGCCAAAATATATCTGCTAGCTTTACGTTTATTAAAAAGCTGCTCGAGCTTTTGACTACCGGACATTTATAGGAATGTGCTAGCATAACGCATGACCTAGGCTGACTTTGTCTGTCGAACCGGTAACGTCTATATAGCATATGGCCATGCTATTCTATAATATTAAAGGTATTAGGGGTGAGGCGGGTAGTATAGTGAGGTAAGAGAGCTTAGTCTTAATAATAAATAGCGCTAAAATAAGACGACCAGTGACGCGTTTCTAGCTTTTCGGAATCGGCTTTGATTCCAAAGCATGACAAAGAGACACCTAAAAGTAGGTAAACAGACTTTCCGCTAAAATCGTCTATATCGGTTAGTGATAACTGATAGTGATAAGCTGATAACTAAGCGATGAGAAAGTAAGTGGAGCCCATCACATTTATGTAATATTAGTCGTTTGTTGCCAAGTGGAAGTAGAGCAGTTCTTCAAACTTTAAATTATATGATCACATAATATCGTATGTATATTTAGTTCGTTCATCTCACGCAGGTATTTTAATATATATATATATATATATATATATATGTAGATAGGCGAACAGACCTTCATTAAATCGCAGGCATAAACCTAATAGTTCACGCCCGTTTGGAAATACTAGGATTGATATAGATCGTCCATTATATACATTCTTCAAACTATGGATCGATGGTTTTCCAATGGTTAGACATCGGTTGTAAACTGGATAGTTCAGATTTTTCTCTCACAGCCTTAGACCACATCTTGGTGCGATAGAGTGGACAAGAAACGTTTCATCAACGAATCTTATATTACTGATCCACTAAAACTAACGACGATATATTTTGTCACAAAATAGATTTTTTTAAATTGCGTTTGTATAATTTACCGCGGTAGATCACTGCTGTATATATGCGTATTTTTTAATAAAAAAAAAAAGATTAGTTACCGGTGGGCGCTATATATATATATATATATATGTATATATCACGTACTCTTGGCAATTATCTGTAATAAATATGAGCCTCAAGTACATTTCTCTGCGTTTTATCGGTAGTCAAGTCTATAATTTAAAAACTCCCTTCTTCAACAAAACATCAACAGACAGACGATAGAAACATATAGTTTGTTCAATTAAGCTAAGGGTTCTCTTCAACGGTCTTAGTATATTACATTGCTTTATAAATAATAAAGCTGTCTCCTCAACCGTTGCTATTTTTTTTTTACCTGGTTATTGTTTGCTTACCTGTACTTATATACCATTCGGCAATGCCCTCTCTCCCATATAAGCCCATCGTATTGCAGTTGAGCGTAAATGTTCCTAACGAAAAAAGTGCAGTCCATTTACTTTATTTCGTTAGTTGTCGGGGTCAAACAATTGCCGAAGTAGGCTGGGGTGGCTAAGGCTGTGTTTAGCGAGGCCTATAGAATTTGAAGGACCGCTCGAAGAGCTTTGCTAAGATAGGATTCGGATCTAGACGGAGCATACCACTCCTCGACAATCCAAGTCAACGAGAATCTTGGATGGCAAACAAGTGTAGACTGTGAATATTCACCTATCGTTACTCATCTCTAATATATGTATATATATATATATATATATATATATAATTAGATACTAAATTAGAAGCTTGAATGATCCGTGGATTAAGCGAAGCGCACAAAAGACGCACGGTTCCTTATCCACCTCTAAGGCATAAGGTAAACAATGAAATTAGTAAATCCAGAGCCTAAAGTTGCATCAAATTTCCATTAAAAAAAAAATACACGATTTACGTTTAGCGGGATTGTAAGGGCAGCTATTGAGAAGAACAAGACGGTCAACAATGATCTGTATATGGTTCGCTCCCGAGACCGTCCGATAGAAAAAGCCCGATAAACAAGGTAAAATCATTCTTCTCGACAACAGTGGTACACCAGACATGGCAAAGATCGTCAAAGCCCTTTTGCAGGAACATGAGGAAAAGATGTCCTGGACACACGACCTTCTCCATACATCAGGCCAACGCTACGCTCCTCAGTCACTAACAAATAAATCGCTACAGCATGTTTGAAAGCGGAAAGGATCTTAGGACTAACAGACTACATAAATTTCCCTATGCAAGACCTTATTATTATTTCTGACGAATTAAAATAAATTAGTTAATAGTCGAGAAATGAGAGAAAACGATGAAGAGTAATAACTAATATGTAGTAAATCTATTTTTTTACTAGAGTTTAGGTTTGTTAGACCTGAAAAGCAATATTACTTATGTACCTAGCCTATTCATCTAACTAGATTGTATCCTAATCGATAGAGTCTTTCAAAAGTAACGAACGATTCAACCATATAATGCGGCAGTATGTTAAAACAGGTCGGTTAAAGCAGGCTAAAAAAATGCTACAGACCCTGAGCGAGGAAACCAATTTGACTATCTACTCCCTATACGAGCCACTTTACTGCCCTTCATGGACAGTCCCGAAAATTATAACAGCTACAATATGACAAATGAGGTTGTCGCTTGCCATGCTACATGTAGGCAATAGATCCACAGACCGCAATAGAGTACTATATAGATTGCAGCAAACATATATTTTTGTAGTAATATTTTTTTTTTTTGCTTAAACGATTTTGAGACGGGATTCCTTGGCGGCGCACTATTTTGAGATGCACTATTCAGAAATCCGTCCATTATGATCATACGGTTATATATTTAGGAACTAGTTTCAACAACCTGAAGCGTACACCGTTTTGCTTTCATACAGACGTTTGTTCTATACATTATACGTGAAACGTCTTGCGTCAACAGCAGAGTAAACATGTTACTCCATCATCCTTAGAGTGTAAAAATATATATAAAATGCTCTAAGTATACTCACTATGATTCATCTGTTTTTGGTCATTTCGGTATGGTACTTTTACTAGAAGGCAAACAGGTGAACTTTAAGCATGATTAAATCTGGACGTTTCGCTTTGTCCAGCGAGAGTGTGCCTATCGGAAGATAATATGCAGCTGAATAATTTACACGGGGTCTACGGTAACACAGCGTAGGTTGGATACATTGAAGGTATATTACAGTATTTGTATCTATTGTTATTTAGATATTTGTGAAGAAACTTCATTTCCTAAGCAAAGCTGCGCTGCGCGAGAGTTCTGGATACTGAGGACAGCCGCTCGAGGTTTTGAGCCTGCATTAGGCTAATGCATTTTCTGGACAGATTGCTATTGTTACCAATGGCAGTCTGCATATAGATGTACCATGTGAAGGAAACGAATTTCCTCCGAAAAGACTTCGAGGAAATGGGAAATATTTATTAAAGCCGATCGCTAGATTGCAAAGTCGCTTCGGGAACTAGAAAACAAAACAAAAACAAATATTTAAAAACGTTCGTTTAGCGTTGCCCAAATATGTTCCTTTGATATTTTCGATTTTTTTCCTGATTTTGCCACACTGTTTGATAAAGGAATCGCTGCACTCCCCTGCGTAGGCTGCAACGTAGGCAACAGTTCAGGCACACATTTGCGGTTCGATGTAAACGGTACATTTGTCGTTCGATTACACACCCATAAAATAAGCTTTCGAAGTTTTTCAAGTATTGCGTAACATATTCCTGTTTCTAATGTTTAGTTTTTAAAATCTGCTTTAAAGTGCTGACACTGGACCTGACGGGCCTTGAAAGGCTCGTAGGTTAGTCCTCACTATTTCCGCGTTTTTTAGGCTAGACCTTAGCTTCGTCCCAGTAAATGTGGTGCCATGCTACAGATCTACTTCATTATCGTGTATAGCACATACGAGTCTCTAGTACTTCGCAAACGAGCGAGAACAAAGTGTTACGAGAAACCAACATCCTAGGACAAGTTCCTATTAGGCAAATCTGTAGATAATCGGGTATTTTAATTATAATTACGATGAACAACAATGCGATGCGTGAGCTAGAGTTACACTGGTCGCGTTTGTTCTAAGACAAATAACATTGAGTGGTCAACTGGTCTGCGCAATCGGGCTCATCAAGCCAACACCTGTGTTTTCTTCTGCCCTTAGTTAAAGGACATAATTAGGGTGTCGCTGTTGTTGCTGTTCCGACAGCCGCTTCCTCGAAGTAGGACGCTACTGTAATTACGCTTATCAGTTAAAAGGGCAGAGCAAACATATTACACTGGCGATACCCATTTCCTATTGCTGGCGCCTATTTCAGAAGAAAAATGTTCTTAGAAACCTTT